GTCACGGTTAGCAAAGTTCGAACGTCTCACCGAGTCTCTGGCACCGGGGGCAAGTCAGTGACGAGCGTTTTTTTGCATGAGCTTGTCCAACTCAGCCACGGGAGGGTTAAACGATACCGCGACCCGCTCTATTATCGCCGCCTGCTCGGAAATGTCAGCTTTGCGTTTTGCTCGTTTGTCTAACAGAGGCGCGCCGGAGAGGGAGGCGGGCTCCTGAGGAGACCAGACGGCTAGGTGACACTTTTAATGAGAGCGAGCCGCACCTGCAGCCGAGCTCATTATCGCAGTTTCGGTGGCACACGCGGAGCCACTAACATGGGTGAACCTGACAGTGCGGAGGAAGAGCGAACTTTCCTGACTTAGTTACTGAGCAGGGACGGGTGAATGTGATTGGGTTTGATTCACAAGGGGGGGGGGGGTCTTCAAATGGAAATGTCTGAAACCCGAACTTAGCAGCAAATCCCATTGAAGTCTATTGTTGGGGTGAATCCAGATACTAAATCCTGACCCTTTTCAAGGCTAATAGGCAAACTATTGCCAGAAAAGTGCATAGGGTGCTGGTCATGGGGGACATGCAACATAGCAAAAACACATGAGAACCATAACCCTACATATCCACACACCCCTCCCATGCTTGTATCCCCAATATTTTCCAGAATATTCAAAAATATAGACTTGGGTAAAAAATTGTCTAGCTGTAAGGCAGAAGATGAGCACTTGGATAGCAGCAAATAGAGACGAGGCGGGTTTTATCTGAAAATTAGAGTATATTATCAGAGAGACAATAGCCCAATACCTTGTTCAGTGGCTGGACGGTATGTAAGCAGCTTGGCTAGGCAGCAATATAAGAGGGAGAGATGAAGCAGGTTTCATCCTCAAATAGACCGTGTAGCCACAAATAATGTTTTGTGGATGGACGGTATGTAAGCAGCTTGGGCAGGCCAAAGTATAACAGTGAGAGAGACAAGGCAGGTTTTATCTTGAAGGTAACATTAGAGTGTGTTATTTAAGAGACAATAGCCACAAATATTGTACAGCGCAGCTCCAGATAGCAGTGGGCATTGGTACATAAATAAACTGCATTATTACCATCTCCCCAAGATCCTTGCGCTGCAACCCATCCCAAATACTCTAGTGAATACTTCCTGGTCTGGGATTCCCACCATCTCCAGTGACAACCTGGTCTTTGCTGGATATGAAGAAATAAAATGTTCCCAAACCCTCCGCGTGCCCGGCACCTGTATACCAGCTTCTGCTTCTGCATACCAATTCTGGCCATTGGCACTTCAACTACTTCTATACCAGCTGGCAGAAACAGCCCCCATCATGGCCCGGGCAGTCCCATCTTATCCTTTTCCCACCCCACCTGCCCCATCACTACTTTTTTTATCTAGTTGTTTTGGTAAAAATGATTGACACCTTTTCTTTAGACTTGATACCTTTTTATTTTTTTCTTGTAGGCTGCCCCCGCCCTGGTTAAGCAAACAAAACTAGGGATGGAAAGCATGTCACTAAAATGCTTACCAACAATCATACCATTGACTACTGTACAAAGATACAAAGATGTACCATTGGCTGAAGGTGCGCTCAAGGTAGTGGCCTGCCCTGCTGCACGTGTCCTATCTGGGGAGCAGTGATGTCACTTCTGTTTAATATAACTTATATCTGGAGAGTGGTGATGTCACTCCCTTGTGCTTGTTTACACACATGTACCCTGAGGTGTCACCCTGAGGTTTTGAACCCTGTTCAGTCACGTCGAGCATCAGCATGCCGGGCAGTGCAGCAAATATGCAGTTTGCCAGACGGGTTTTCCCCCAGTGCGTTGTGATGTAGTATAGTAGCGGGAGTGAGTCCAAAATAAATCAGATTGTTGCTCAGCGTTGCTGAGCTTTAGAGCGAATGAGCTCCTCTTATGTTCTTGGAAGCCCCAATCCCTGAAGGAAAGGCAGACACATCATGGTGAAAACATACAAACTCCATGTGGATAAAGCCCTGGCCTGTATTGATTCCAGAAACAAGGCGCCAGGCCTCAGCGCAAACCTCGGGTACCGGCGCATCACACGGCTGAACAAAGAGCGCCGATCAATAATAGACCTGAAAAGACGAAAAATAAAACCTGTAACGATCTCTCCGGCTCGCCGCGTGTTTTATAACTTGCTCGGCAAGCGAGCGATGACATAAAAGACGGCGCGGACGCCTCCAATCCGGCCGCACGGCGTATAATGACACCTCGCAGACAATACCGGGCTATCGATCAAACATTCCTACTTTGTGAGCCGACATCTGCCGAGAAGCTGAAAGCCGCCGGCTCGGGTATTAGGGATCTGAAGTGATGACGGTGCAGCCGGCGGGAGGCGACCTTTCCGGAGAAACCGTTTAGAAGACAACGTGGCCATGGGAAGCGCTTTGTTCACCAGATACCCCTCCCCTCCCCCCCTACCCCCTCTCCGTACTAATAATAATTACCAGCCAGGCGGGATCAATAAGAATGGACGGGGATGCATATTTACATCATAAAAA